GTGCTGTACTTGCAGACAAACTTGGTTTCTCTATATGATAAGCAATCTGATTGCCAGGAGTCATTTCTGTCCTGTGCAATGCTGGTGCTTATTATACCTGGGAAGCAGCTGGTGGTCAACAAAAGAGGTTTAGAGACTGTCTCAAGGCAAATCTAAAAAAGAGTAGTATAAACACTGACAACTGGGAAACACTGGCCTTCTAGCGCTCCAGTTGGAGAACAGCCTTTACCAAAGGTGTCATGGGCTTTGAAGACACTCAAACTCAGGACGCAAGGGAGAAACGTGCTAAGAGGAAGGCATGCTTGGCAAATCCACACCGTGATCAGCTCCTGCCCGGAAACCAATGTCACCACTGTGGAAGGACATGTGGATCCAGAATTGGCCTCCACAGTCACTTACAGACTCATTGTTAAAACCGTGTTTATGGAAGACAATCTTACTCGGCTACGAGTGATCTCCAAAGAAGAAGAATAATTTTGGGGTTATTCTGTACTGAAGTCTTTTGAGAACCACCCACCAGCCCAGCCCACTTTGAACACAGGTGTAGACACTCTTCAGACACCTAGGAGCCACCATTGCATTGGAGCAGAGGGGGATAGCTTTATCCACAGTTGAACTAACTGGTCAAATGCTAAGGCAACAGCTTCAAATAATTAGATGCTGGGCAGCCATGTGCCTGGTTTGTTCCAGCTCTCTCTATCCCTGCTGGATGACCACTGCTCGTTTCGTACGATCATAGCAGCAATAAGAAGCCACAGTAACAAAGCCCCATAACTAGCTGGAATTATGCAGATATTGGTAACACATATGGTGCTGGCAGAGGTGAACAGTGCTCAGCAGAACCCCACAGGCACATTCAAATTTAAAAGCACAGCCTACGAGTCCAATCCATTTAACACTGCAAATGTGCAGCCTCCCATTTTAATGGGATTTTAGGCCCATGGAAGTGAACGAAGGTTGCATAACATTTGGTTGGTTAAATTCTCTTATCTCTAGTCTATGCAGTGGTGCACACATCATATCAAAGTTTAACATTTTATGTTTAGCTATGGTTCAACATGAACAAGCGGCAAGCTGGCACACAGTGTTATAATATCCCCATTTGTCTTCTCCCCCAATCTTGGTCACACCATGAACGACAAATGATGAGTCTTTGTTATCTGAACTTGGACTCATGGTTTATGTCTCTCCAAGCAAACCGCAGGTGGTAGCCATAGTTTGTTGTTGGCTTACTGCTCATCAATTATTTGGGGAAAACAAACCCTGAGCTCAGTTTCAAGCGGCGTGACAGGCCAAAAGTTGTGGTTTGTTCTCCCAGTGCAGCACAGCCGAGGAGCTGGAGAGGAATGAGGTAGGGAAACTGCTCATTTTATTGAGACACAGTTAAACATAATTAAACATTAACTATGGTTTAACGTTATGTGTGAACACAGCCAAAAGAAATGACTAGTTTTGCTTTCAAATCACTTGCAAGTAGGACAACACAATGGCTGTTTTTCCATACACACAAAAAAGAGCACCTACTTTGTTAGTACAAACCAAACATGTTTAATCCTACTTAATCATGCTTTGATCAGCTTATTAATTTAGTTAGCTAACAGATATCAAGAAGTATAGCTCAAGTCAGCAGCTTACATTCGACTCATACAACTTTCATTGAAATTCAAGCTGCGGCTGCTATGACGACAATTAATTTTGGTTGACACTTCCGTTGCCCTTCATAACAATCTGTAAAATATGGATTTTGTTAAAATGTTATGCATTGCGTTTTTGCATTTCTATTATAGCCGGTGGCCAATATGGAAATGAAACCAAACTGAATTATACATGAATAATAATCATGAGTGGCATCGTTAGGTTTTTGAAATATACTGAAATGATCTCATCTAGTCCTGCCAACAAGAATTTAAGGAGGATCAAGCTCACTGGAACATGTCTGACCAAGTGACAGACAGTCTATTATTGTCCAATGATGTCTCACAAACAGACTCTGTCTAGGTACAAGGGGCAAAACCCTATCAAACTCTATTGAACCCAGAGCTGATGGGAGTTGTAATCCAAAACATCTGGAGGACACCAGGTTGGTGAAAGCTGGCTTGGTCCATTTTATGGAAGCTGCAATGTGGACGCTGCAATATAGTTAATCGTTTTGCCCATCTGGATTGCCCAGCCTCGTGCACAGGCTCCATGCCACCACCAATAGTCCAGGTTTGGTTTAACTATGCAAGCGGGCGAATTCACACGAGACGTGGATGGCATGCATGGTGCCCCCCAGACAGGGTTCCCGCTATTCAGAAGCCTTTGAAGTAAATCTGAAACTGGACATAGTAGAACAAAAATAGATGTTTCAAGCAAGCATGCCATGCTGCACGATAAAGAAGGAGGTATGGTTAACATAATGGGACGTGGGTGGTGCTGTGGGTTAAAGCACGGAGCCTAGGACTTGCCGATCAGAAGGTCGGCGGTTCTAATCACTGCAACGGGCTGAGCTCCCGTTGCTCTGTCCCGGCTCCTGCCAACCTAGCAGTTTGAAAGCACGTCAAAGTGCAAGTAGATAAATAGGTACCACTCCGGCGGGAAGATAAACGGCGTTTCCATGCGCTGCTCTGGTTCACCAGAAGCGGCTTAGTCATGCTGGCCACATGACCCGGAAGCTGTACGCCGGCTCCCTCGGCCAGTAAAGCGAGATGAGCGCCGCAACCCCAGAGTCGGCCACAACTGGACCTAATGGTCACGGGTCCCTTTACCTTTACCATTAACATGGTCCCCCACCCCTCCCTAGCTTCTTCACTAGGGCATGACTGGTTGACATGCAACAGGTTTGACGTCCCCATCACGACATCCCCCATTCCAGGGAGACAGCACTCCATCGCTTTCTGATGTCGTAACCCTGAAAAAAATCACAAACTCATCCCATGTCCCCTGCATAACATCCATTGGAACTTGGGGTTATTATACAACAGGAGCTGGCAGTGTGGAAGAACTCTGGTGTCTGAATACTTTTTGGATTTAGAACAGGGTTTCCAAAACTTGGGTCTCTAGCTGCTTTTTTGGACTACAACTCCCATCACCCCTAGCTAGCAGGACCAGTGGTCAGGGATGATGGGAACTGTAGTCCAAAAACAGCTGGAGACCCAGGTTTGTGAAACCCTGATTGAGAACATAAGCGCCCACAGTTACTTCTGTTTCCAACCAGCAAATCTAACACTTGGTGAGCAACTACTACAACATTTGTCCTCTCATAAAGGGACCAATCTGGGATTAGGTGTGGGTTGTGATAAACAGCCACTTCAGTTTCAAGAATGGGGAACCTATGGCCCTCCAGAGGTTGTTGCATGACAGCTCCTGTCTTAGCAATGCCCATACTGGTCAGGGCTGGTGGGTGTTGAACTCCCAACCAGGTTCCCCATCCTTGTTTCAGGGGAACCCTTTTTGTGGACTTCAGATAGAGATTCTATAAATCTACAACATACATGTGCACTAGCCACAAAAAGGATTTCAATAATAAACCAAATAACTCATCTGCTCAACTGAACTTCAGATGCAGAGTGTGGTTGTATTCAAAAGTGTGAGTTTACAAGGTCTGGCAGCAAGCCCAGAAGTCTGAGGTTTAATAAATGTTGAGCTAGTTGCTACAACTCCTACATTCATTCCAGTTCCACAACTCACTGCTTTGGAGCAGGGCTACTTCAGAGTAAATACAGCGCTGAGGATGCAACCCAACAGGGCTATTCTGAAGCAATAAAGGACTGTGGATTTCAAGTACTGTGCAGCAATTCAGGAAGTCAAAGGGCTAGACTACTGTATAAAGTTTCTACACTTGAAAGCAATTATTCAAAGCAATATTTCCCTACAACTGAACAACTGGTCTACTGTTTGTAGGCAAAAGGGGCTCACAGTCCTGCCTTCAAGTCTAGGAACTGATTAATACACACAGTGGGGCATTTAAAAGGCTTTGTTTGTCCCTGGAGGGACTCCATGTAGAATTTTAATAGATCAGTAAAATTACATTCCCTGTGGTACTTTGAAACAGCTGCAATCATTGAGATTGCTTAGCTACGTTTTACCTAAGCAGGGAAGCTGGGCAGCAACCCTCAATGTTCACAAATGAGCCAAACACAAGAAAATGCAGTTTTAAAAAAGAACATCATTCACACGTTAATATAAAACAACAACTTGACTAAGTTTCAGCATAAGCATGTTGAGAAAGACGGTGCATTTATTTCTCCAAAAATCAAATCTACAGTTGCTTTCTCACTTAAATCTTCACGCCAAAGCAAGATAACTTGCAATAATTTTTTCAAAGCTGCTTTCATTCATATCCCTGAAATGTTTAACCGCATTACTTTCACGCCTTTGTTTAACTAGTGCATGCGTGCACACTTAAATTGCCAGCTATGTTTCAAATGCAGTGTAGAGATACACAAGACTTTTCAAAGAAATGTGGTTTCTTTTATTGCTAGTAATAATAAAGCCCTACACTTTTGGTTAGAAAGAGACAAGCAGTGCATTGTTATCTTTGTTCTAATTCATGAGCCTTCCTACGTTCTGAAGGTGGAAAACATCGGCAAACACCCATATCCAATCATAGCCATATCCTCCGCTATCAAATAGTATTTCTGCACAAATAATATTTCTGCACATAATACAACCATCTTCCCCCACCCTTCCCTTAACAAAGGGGCCTGGAGGAAGCAGCCTTCTACTTGTTCAAAGAAGAAGAAAATAATGTTCCACTGAGGTATCCTTTTTTTAGCTCTTGCAACTTACTTTTCCGCCGCAGAAGAACTTGAAAGGCGAAGCTACAAGTGGGATTGGCAGAGTGGGAAAAGAGCCACATAGTTCACTACTTTTCATCTAGTATCTCAGCAGCACGCATTTCAGATTACGCTGTCAGGCTGCTCCTGACACCCCCTTCCCTGCTGCTTACAGCCTGTTTACCACCCTTTCCCCTTGCAAATATAAGATGCTTCTGCAAGCTGAAACAAAATCTCGCCTACCGGGGAAGGGGAGAGAATGCAGCTCTCAGCGTTTGTTGTGCTAATCTTCTTCCTTTCCCCATCAGCCGGTGGTGCCTCCTTACACTTGCGCTCCCTGAGAAGTTCCCTCCCAGGGCATTCAACGGGACTTCCTCCCGAGGAACCCCCTGCTCAGGTTGCAGTCTAGCCCGTAACCTGGGAGAGGAAGCCGAGGATCGGGGCCCCCTTCGGGCAAGCGCCGCCAAGGCGCAGCGTAAAAAGAGAGCCCTCGGCCAAAGTGGGCTCTTTAATCGGATCAGGAAGGCAATTTCATGAGCGCGCACTGAAAGCCTCGACCTAAAGCCTTGGGGAAGCTGGGCGGAAGCGTGGCTCCAGACACAACTCGTGTTTCCCCCACCCAGACATACACACGCGCTTTATCCCGGGAGGCTGGAGAAGTGTCCCGCCTGGGATCCCTCCGCTTCATTTCCCGCCGCCGCCGCCGCCGCCGCCGGTTCAAGTCCGTGGAGGGAGAAGTCGAAGCGCCTCTTCCGCGGCTCCTCTAGCGGGAAACTCGCCAAGCGGCCGAAACAAGCGCAATAGTGGCGGGCAGGAAAGCGAGGCGTGGAATTGCCCTGGCGCGCGGGGAGAGAACAATGCTAATAATAATACTAATACTAATAATATTAATGCTTTCTTTACCTCACTGTGCAGAAAGGCAGCTCTTCAGTGCTCCATGCTCCGGCAGCCCCAGGTAGGCAGGCAGGCAGGCGGCGGCGAGCGCGCGCAAGAGCGAGCGAGATAAGCCCGGCAGCCTCCACCGCCAGCGGAGAGATTCTCACTCTCCCCCGGCTCGCCAAGCTCCCACCACATCGCCTGCCTCCGGCTGACGTCAAAGTCGCTGTCACATGGCCCGATGCAAAACCAAAAGAGCATTGGTTGTCGTGGCAACCGCAGCACGGCGCGCGGAAGCCATTTCAATAGGTCGTTTGTCACACACACACATACACACGCGTGTGTGTGCACGTTGGAACCTGTTCCGGGATCTGGTCGGGCTCCTCCACGGCAAGGGACCAGAAATGTTGTCCAGGAGGAAGTCTTCCAACAGGCAGGCAGACCAAAGCCCACCGTCGGGAACCTACAAGCCAGATTTTATTTTTTATGTTGCATCTGTTTAATTGGGTGTGTGTGGGGTTCTTTTTAATCCCATTTCGTTATGTTATGCTGCTGCATCTTGCTTTGCACTTTTCGGGAGATGGGAAAAGCAGCTTATAAATGTTAATCTAAAAAGAATGGGAAAAGCAGCTTATAAATGTTAATCTAAAGAGAAATGAATGAAAAGCGTCAGATAGAAAAGTAAGGTATAAAATCTCAGAAATACATCCATTGATAGAATGTCCCACAGCCTGATCTGATGAAACTAGGAAGAACTAAAGGTGGTTAGTGCTTTGTGGTTAGTGATGATGTGTGTTACCTTTGGTTTCAAGGAAGGTATGCACAGCCTAAAATTAAATAATCAGCCTCAGATGGGTTTGAAACAACGACAGAAGGCCTTTATTCAGTTGACAGAATTTAAACGGACGTGTACCGCACATACATTATGAGATGTGCTTTTGTGTGGGTATCTGTACCAGGAGTACAGAACATGAAATGATGGGCAGCCCTCAGAAAAATGCTATTCCAGGCACCTGAGATTTGAGATAAATGTCAACAAACTAGCTTGCATCTTACTTTCCAAAAGTATTATGCTGTATTATCATGATCAGTGCTTTTTTTCTAGAAAAAGAGGTGCAGGAACTCCCACTTTTTCTCTTTTTTTTTGACAGACAACCCACTGCGGCCACATTAAAGTGTCGCCTCCACCTCACTGTCCCACAACCTCTGACCCAAAGCCATGAAAGGCATGCAGCCCAAAGCCTCTGACACACAGCCCTGGGCGCCGTGCCGCTATACAGCTGCTGGTACGCTACAAAGAGGTGCCGGAACTCAGTTCCAGGGGGTTTCAGATGAAAAAGGCCCTGATCGCGATCAAGCAATCTGGACGTACAGTGGTACCTCAGGTTAAGTACTTAATTCGTTCCGGAGGTCCATACTTAACCTGAAACTGTTCTTAACCTGAAGCACCACTTTAGCTAATGGCACCTCCTGCTGCTGCCACGCTGCCGGAGCACGATTTCTGTTCTCATTCTGAAGCAAAGTTCTCAACCTGAAACACTATTTCTTGGTTAGCGGAGTCTGTAACCTGAAGCGTATGTAACCTGCAGCGTATGTAACCTGAGGTACCACTGTATGTGTAACGGCTAGAGTCAGACTCAGGTCAGCAATAAAGGAAGCAGATCTGCATTGACAGTGAAGTTAACTATTCAAGGAATGAACATACAACTCAGCCTAGTGGTCTCAACAACAATTCCCAGTGGTTTTGCCCCTATGGAGCAGTTGCCAGGACTGAAAGTCCACTCTTCCACCCTCTCTAAGGTTCCTCCTCTCCTGGATGTTTTCCAAGCAGTCTCAAACTGTATCTGTGCACCTCTGGTCTGTTCTCCTCATTATTCTGTGCTTTCATGGAGACCAGGGAGAGGGGAGCTTGTTGCAGTGGGAGAAGGAGATTCCCTGGATTCTTCAGCAGCCTCTTGACCCCCTTCCTCTGCTTCAGCCTCAGAGTCTGAACTGCTCCCTGCCACAGGCTCTTCCTGCTCACTAAACCCTGTTGCCCCTTCAGCATCCAGCCCCTCCTCCCAATCTTCTCCCTCTGACCTCTCCTAAGTGTCCCACCACCAATCTGCTGGCTCTGACCCTTCCTCCTAGGGGATATGAATGTTATGTTTGAGAACATAGTTGGTGCCATTTGATAACCTGATTGGATTCATTGGATCCACCCTTTTCCAATGAATTTTCTGGTCCAACAGTCTTTCCGCCTAGAACCAGATACTGTCCTTAGTCATGTTTAGGGGTGTTAAATTCCAATGTAGTGGAAATTCAAGAACAGAATCTGACAAAGACAGGTATCCCTACTAGGAGGGTTCCTTCTATTTCATGGGTAGGCAAGTTAAGGCCCGGGGCCCGGATACGGCCCAATCGCCTTCTAAATCCAGCGCACGGACTGTCCCGGAATCAGCGTGTTTTTACATGAGTAGACTGTGTGATTTTATTTAAAATGCATCTTTGGGTTATTTGTGGGGCATAGGAATTTGTTCATTCCCCCCCAAAAAAATATAGTCTGCCCCCCCCAAGGTCTGAGGGACAGTAGACTGGCCCCCTGCTGAAAAAGTTTGCTGACCCCTGGGTCAGACGATGTGCACAAATCCAGCATGCGCCCTCTGTATTTTGGGAATTTTTACTTACAAATCTTCAATAGAAATTCTCCTCCCATAGTGTAAGTGGTCCATTATATATCCATTTTATTTTCTTCATCTTGGGATGCCATATTAAGGAATTTGTAGGTGGGGGAGGGTACATCTACTTGCCTCCTGGATTATTGTCATTTGTTTATTTATTTCACACACACAAATTTACATCACTTGATTGGAAAGAGGATAAGATGCCGACAAAAGCGGACTGGCAGATGAAAATACTAGATTATGCAGAGATGGCGAGACTGACTGGAAAAATCAGAAATCGGGAGGAGTCAAAACTTCAATAGAGAATGGGACAAATACAGATTGTATTTAAAAGAACACTGTAATCATTTGAGCTCTTTGGCAGGCTTTCAATAACTCTTGCAATGTTACATAGACTTTGGATATTTTGGAGGACTATAATGCAGATGAATTATAATATGCAGTTGATTTAGATATACAAAGGACCCACGGAGGGGAGGAGGGAAGTCTGAAGAGTCTTGCTTGATTTTAAAACTTAAATGTGCTAACTGTGAGATTTATTTTGTAAAACCAAAATTTTTTTCCTCCCCCTTGCCTCTCACTTCGGGGGGGGGGTGCTAGGTGTGGCAACCTGGCTTTTAATTCTGCGCATAACCAAGTTATAGCAGGTTGAGCCATTCTTGACACAATAAGAAGTTTCCTTTGCATCTACCCTCTTTACTCTTAACTATTATTTCTTGAGTAGGGCATTCTTTTAGCTAATGGGGCCTCCTGCTGCCGCCGCGCCGCCGGAACACAATTTCTGTTCTTATCCTGAAGCAAAGTTCTTAACCCAAGGTAATATTTCTGGGTTAGTAGAGTCTGTAACCTGAAGCGGTTGTAACCCGAGGTACCATTGTATTTCCCACTTCCCTCAAAAAAGGGAAGAATTCTCATTTTCCCGCGCTGCGTCATACTAACAAGCGCCATCTTGTTTCTTCTTTTATCTTTATCAAGTCTAAGTAAAGCTGCGCAGCTGAATACTTAATCATAAATAGAAGTCCATATGTACTCTGTTTTTTTTTTAAGGTTTCTTAATGAGGCTTGGCATAGAAAACCAATTGTAGTTGTTAAGAAGAAACAAAAGACACACCAAACACCTCCGTAATCCACACGCCATGATGAGAATCTCTTTGAAGTCTGAGCTTAAACTTAAACACCAGGGACTGTACAGTTCAGCAGGTTTTTCCTTAGTCTTCTTCAGTCTAGACTATGTCTGTTTATTGCCCAAATCCAATCATTTTATCAAAGAGATATTTCCGGCTATGAGAATGACATCGGTGAGTGCCAGCCATGTCGTGCTCTGGGACCCAGGGTCCTGCCGCTTGCACCTTGATGCCAGCTGACAATCTCGGACGATCTGCGGGTCTATGAGACAGTCCTCCCCCATCCTGGTGAGCCTGCCAGGGCTAATTACCCCCATATCAACCCTGAATTACCGGCACGGTTGAGGTCCGATCATGTGGGAGTCAGCTATTTCTCACCACCGGAGACAGGAAGCCCCAAACCTCTGCTTCTGGCTTGCCCTTTTCCGGGTCAGGCAAGCGTGCAGTGTTCCCTCAGTGTCCAGCGCTATCTTCTTCTGGCTCCCGCCTTTTCCGGTCAGGGGAGCTGGTGGAGCTCCTCTTCGACCTGACAGGCAGAGAGAAATTCCTCATCAATACTCAAATTGTTTTACTCACCCTTCCTCAAGGCCAGGCAGCAGAGGCAGATTTAGGGAAGCATGAGCAATTTGGTCGCACTGGGTGCTGGGTAGGCCTGGGAGATATCAGCTTTTCAACACTGCAGTGTATTTGCCAACCAAACATCGTGGTTTGGCGATACACCGCAATGTTGAAAAAACAAGATGCATTGGCCTCTGCCTGTGAGACAGCGGGTGAAACTGCCCCAGCTCTCACCTCGAGAGCAGAGTCGGTTTCACCCAGGCTTGCAAGCTGGGACAACACAGCTTGTTTGTGCTGTTCAGCTGCGGGGAGGGAATGTCCCCCCCCCCAGCTGAGACAGCCCTAGTGCTCTTGCTGGGAGGCATGTTTGCAACC